AAGAAAGAATGACTATGACCTACTCCTGCATAATACACACAGAAGATGAATATTTAAAATAACAACAACAACAAAATTACCCATGTGAATCCCAAGCAGTTAATTGCATCAGCCAACATATCTCCAAGGAGCGAAGGCCAGGAAGTAAGAGCTGGAAAGTAGGCATGCATGTGTGGACTTTGCCAATGGACTACCTAGAACAAAATTATTTAGAAGTAGGAAAATGTCACAAAATTCTGCAAGAGATGTAGCGATTAGCATCTGTTCAAAGTGATGGAAAAGGATCACAGCAACATATTACGTGCAATTATACATCTGCTAGCAGAAAGCTACAGAGATAATATTGACTGGAGTGCAGCATTAGCAAATGATAACACTGCCATTATTAGATAAATTCCAAATTATAGCAAAAGCATTTATCTGAATTGAACAGGCAGATAAAGATTCTGAACAGGAAAGAATGGCCTTTTGAACATGGTACAACAGCTGAAATATTTATCAATACATTTATCTTTAAGGGAAATCCTTTCAACGAAGTTGCTCTTGCTCATTTTGTCAAACAACAGCTTGCCTTTAGCTACACACAGCAATTTACAATCGTATAGCCCCCTCTATACACCTGAAGAAGCCTGCATGGGGGACACCAGCATAAGCACATTTAATGTGAATACCTCTCCTACATCAGACCACGTTTCTGCAAACACCTATAAAGAAAATTTTAAAACATACTTTTAAACAGCTTCTTACATGAGACATTTAATTAGATATATGAACTCCCTTAGCAGAATCTGCAGTATTTATGTACAAAAGGAAGGAGACTTTTACATTCAGAGAGCAGGAGACATGTCTTATATGTAATGACCTTGGGCAAGAGATGTTTCACCTTGCTGTGCCTGCGCTTCCACATGTCTGAAATCAAGACGATGCAGTTCACGCCTTGTGAAGCTAAATTGACCAGTGTCAGAAAATCATCGTTTCCCTCTAAGCAAGAATAAGTTATTCTTAATGTATAAAATGCTTCAAAAATATACTCAGCCTATGCCCTAAAATTGTAGTTAGGAACACAACAGTAATAGCCAGAATCCCTCTGTGGACTTATCTACAAGACATTCTACGTTTTGGGGGCTTTACTTATTTAGCTAAGTGTTGTGCAGAACCTGTGCATTCCTGGGATTTGGTGTCCACCTCAAGTACTAATAGCTTTTTCCTGTCATGATTATACTTCATGTCTTACCCCGGGCATAATAATCTTCTCTATATCTCCAAAGATGTTGTCCCAGCTGTCTGGGTCCATTGGGGCAGAATCCGGCAACTGGGCTCTCATGTAACCTGGCTGCACATCAGGAGTCACCCGTCTCTCTCTCACATTGCTCAGGTACTGGCAAATGTAATTCTTTCCCTGGAAGAGGCAAACCAGTGTTTTGAGTTTCAATTGTGGGAAAACTAGTAGTACTAGCACTTCATGCAATCTTAGCACTGGACATGGCTTGGAATCCTGCTCCCACGATAAGCCACAGCAATTAACCTTCCTCCTATACCCTGCTTGTCCCACCTCATAACATAGGGACACAGCTTCTAGAAAAGGCTTCATGGGAACAGAACAGATTCACAGGGTTATTTCACTGCCCTCATTGAATAGTTCAAAAGTACCTTTAAAATACAACAGGGTACAAGTATGGTCTGTTTGATTAATGAAAGGATAGAAAGATTTTCTTGCCTACAAACTAACTGAAAATGCATTTCACGGAAATTAAGGTTTTGTAATGCCCCATACTTCCCTGTCATTACAACATACCCACTTTCGCATCCCCTGAAAAGAGCTGCACAACTCCACGCCTTTTCTCCACATTTTAGGCAATCTCCTCACACCCTAGGACCAACATTTGCTCCCCATCTCCAGAACTGTGCCAGTATCACTGAGGTTCCATGGTGCCAGCCAGGAAGAGCTACTGTGAGTAACACCTTAGCACATGTTTATTCAGAATCACAGCTTTGTAGCTGTCCCACAGTATTTTAAATGCAAGGCCATCCACTGACTCTAAATCCATTAATTTAAACTCAACCCTGGGACATAGTTTACTCAACCACAGGACACATTTTTGTCTCAGCCTCAGCAGATCTAAATCTCAAGGACATGTGTGCAACTGAAGAATATATAGCTCATACAAATTTTGGGTACCACTCCCTACCCTACAACAGTTGATCTCTGTAAGCAAATGCTATTGCCAAGAGCAGAGGATCACTCACCTCTCCGTCTGTACTCTTCAGGGTCCATACCGATTCCTTCCAAAAGCACCTCTTCAAACCTGGGCCACGACCTTTGAGGCGCTGCGGGCAGCTGGTCTGGTGCCCTGCTAGCTGCTTCACCCTTTATAGCTCCCTTTATCTCTCAGACTCATGCATTCTGGAAAAGGTTTAACGTAGGCAGATTATTGGTAAGTGTTTATCTAACTCCTCCCAACTGAGGGCTTTTACAGTCTCTCGTATGTTCTCATCTGTGCTCTTTTGATGTGCATGATAGCGTATTTCTAAGAGGAACTGCCTCTGAGCTAACCCTTTCCCTTTTTCAAACAATCTTTCAGAAGTCTCACAGTAAACTAAGTCATGAATATAATGCACATTAACATCAGACTTCTGGGAGAGAAAAAGCTCAAGAGCTTTCAAAAACAAATTAAAATGTCCATGTTACTCTAGGACACTGAAGTCCTGTGCTAACAGTAGTTATAAAACAAGGCACCAGCACCTAACACATTTGACACCTATGCTGTCAAGTTTCTCACTGTCAGAAGAAAACGCATTACAATTATTTCCAGTTCCAGAACTGCAATACAAAGCAGCAGTGATCCTCCCTGTGGATTTCTTGCCCTTCCAGATCAGACCAGGGTACGCTGCAGGGTGATGTTCCTTCACCGGAGTCACCCTAGACTGCTGAACTGGGAAAATGCCTCCTTCCCCTCCACCACTGTGCTGCTTTTCTCACATATATGTACTGGGATTTGGCCTTGTATCTCCAGAATTCTTCCAAGTCCTCCAACTGGACTGTTCTCAGTTTGGAAGAACAGCTATGTACATTCCCCCTTGTTTTCGTTTCAGGACACAAATATATCCTGATCTCTTTGGCAGCACTACCTTTAACACTGGTTTGACTCAGTGTTGAGCACTTAATCTTCATCAGAAGGAGCTCACTTGGTCTACACTGATACCAGGCAGCCCTGGGAAAAGAGAGGCAGGACTTGTGGATTAAGCACCAGAAACTATTTTGTAGTACAATACGTGCTCGTCCTATTTTTGTTATACCCTGTGCTCCTGCTTAAGGCTGGCCCTGTTTGAGACAGGATAGCTGCCTTGGCAGACCCCTTTGTCTGCTATGTGACATCAGTTTCTCTGTTCTCATCATATGGAAGAGAACTGGCAGTGAGAGCAGCTTTGGTTCTCTGCCTCGTGTACTATAGTGCAGCCCAAATGCTTTCATTATTCTAGGAAGCTGTTACATCTTTCTCCACAGCGTACTTCACACAGAACAGTATGAAAACCTTTCCTAGATTCTGCTGCGATTAGATATCTGTGTAAGAACGGTTTCACAGACATGACGAAGATGCTGATACACGCACATCAGATTAATACACTGAAATTAAAAAGAAAAGTGATAAAAACCCATCGAAAGAGGAAGTGCAAGTAGTGCAGGAAAAGAACACTGTATGTGTATTCATCTGCTTTATCTCACAGTTCTCTGAAACATTAGGGAAGAAATAACAAGCTGCCCCCACGCTAAATATCAATTTTTGAGCCTCTCTTGGCTTTGCTGTAAATGCTCCCTGAAAGGGTAACAAAGAAGGTGAGAAGGGACTGGCATCAAGCACAGGACCAACTCCAAAAGAGCACAGAGTTCTCAAAAACTGTGATTGTACCTCATTACAAGTAACTAATGCATTACTTTAATATGCAGATGTCTGCTCAAGGAAAGCTGGTAGCTAATTACATTTACGACTTCAATTTGGAACAGCAAATAAGGAGCAATACTTTAAACAATGTTTTCAGAGCTAAACTACACAGTAAATACTCCATGTGACATAAACCCTATGCCTTTGCTCAAAGGTGATAGTTTCATCAGGCTGGTTTCTCATTCTGCACAGAAGAGAACAAACAGCAGCTCCTGTTCGGAACTAGAATAAAATAGGTGATAATGAATTAGAGGTAGGGTAAATATTGCTGGTGATAAGTTTCTGTTATAGCTACCCTGCACTTGGAAGGATTTTGTTACAGACAATGAGGAATAGAATATTTGCTCACAGGAAGCAGAATGAATAGGAAAGGTTCTTTTCATTGTTTGATACAAAGGTCAGTGCCATCAAACCCGTGGGAAAGCTGCATTTGGAGGTGAACGTTACCACTATCACTGCCCAGACCGACGCTGAATTCTTATCGTTATGAAGAGTTCACAGAGATTAAACTGCAGTTAAGTCTGTGGGATGTGAGGACACAAACATTATTTTGATCACAGAATAATTCAATTGGAGCAATGCCTAACCAGCTTTTAAGTTGACTAACTGGTTCCTGCACTCCACACGAGTGACATAATGGAGTTTCTAAAAAAAAGGTAGCTATTTCCAGTTAGTCACTGCATAATGCTTGCTTCAAGTACCAGCTGAGCAGGATTATACTCTTGAAAATAATAATTCTAAAACCCACCACCACAGTTTCCCCCTTTTTTATTTTATTTGCCAGTAATTTGATCCCAATGGGATCAAATATGCCTAATTTATACCAATACTAGGATATTTAGGATTTTTTCCTAACTGCCAATTCAATAAACGCAAATCAAAGTTTGAAGATTTTACTGCAGTACTGTGTAATGCAGTTCTTTCCCCACACCTCCTTCCTACCTCTGAAGTCCATTCTAAACCTAAAACTTAAACAATGCCTGACACAGCACAGCTTTGACCTTCTGATGTGCATACAAAACAATTGAAATGGAACCGATTCTACAATAGACATATGTGGAAAAGATATTTAATTGTAAAATAGAAAAAGTAGGCCAGAGTACAGTTTTAAGGGTAATTCTTCTGTGTACAGTATAGGTAAACTAGACTTTTTGCTTAAGTTTATATAAACAATACCATAAAAGCAGTGAAACATGGAACAACAAAGCAAAGCACAAAGAGTTTTATCTTACAAAAAAGGAATCTGCACAGTAGTTCAAAATTTAATGTAACACAGCACTGAACAATCTTAAGGCAGCTCAGTCTAAGCACAGGACTAGAAGCCAGGAACTCCTGAGATCTATTCCCAGGTTTACCCCAGATCCATGTGGTCTTGGGCCAGTCATTTAACACTCCTTGTGTTGCACTTGTATCAGTTATAAAATTGAGACAACAACACTCACTTACCTGCCTCAGGCAGTACAGAAAGGGCTCTTTAAAAGATTTTACAATGCTCTGAAGATATAATGTGCTATATAAATCCTAAGCATAATAGATCACTGCACAGACACACACAAACACAGTATCACAGTGAAGAACAATGATGCTGGATAAGAGCATCACAACATAAGAAAATTACTTGTCCAATTGCATAATTAAAATGCAAAAGTCCGTTTAGAAAAAAAGGTATCACTGAAATGATTTCAAGGCTATTGGGGAAAAGAGATCAATAGGAATATCCTAAAAGAACTACTATTCGTGTTCCAGTGGAGACATTCTTTCCTATTCATGACTGAACTTTTTGGATGCTTGTGCATGAAAATTGTAAGACACAAAGTGAAGTTTCAATGCCTCCACTACCAAATTTTAAATCACCTCTAATATGTAAATTAAGATTTTTTTTTTGTTTTTTTAATTACAAATTACATTCTTCCAACAAATATACCATCCACAATTAAACTGGCTGCTTACTTCCAATGACCTATAAGCTAAGCGTTTTCCTCATAATTTTCCTTATAATTTTCCTCATCTTTGCTGAAAAATACCTATGCAAGATGTGTAGAAATTATAAAAACATGCAGCATATGTACAAACTGAAAAGTTTAAAAAATATTAGCTTCATATACATGTAAATCTACTTGGATATATCCGAAATTAAATATAAAAATTTCACCACCTAAAATAAAAAAAAAAAAAACCAAAAATGGTTTTCAGAGAATCTGAGACAACTACTTAAAGCTGTACAAAGATTTCCACCTGGAAATGTCTTATTCAGAGAAGTTTAAGTTGTTACCATGTAGAAATAACTGTTAATTCTTTTTGTCACATAATTAATTTTCAAGCTGTCAGCTTAAATCAACATCACCCTTAAAACTGTTCTGTTTTTCAGAAGTTAGATTCATAGTAAAATCAAAAATTCCACAAAAACATTGGCTTCTCGTGTTTCTGGATCCCTTCAAAAAGATTTATCAACTCATTTTGAAACTGTAAAAAAACCAACTATTTACAGTATTTCATTTTAAATACTTTTCACAATTTCTAAATTCAGAGTTTTTATGTTACAAGAAATTAATCAGAGCTCACGGCTTAAGTCCAGTTATCAACTTGTAGCATCTTCTCTATCATGTAATCCTGCGTCTGTACCTATATAGCGTACAGTTCAAGATTGTACTGCAGGGTTTGGAAAGTAACAGGCTGTGCAGTATGTTCACTTTTATTAAACAGCTTCTTTATTAGTCTGGAGGCGGGTCATTGCCTCTAACTTCTGCCGATAGGCCTCTGCTTCTTGTTCTTTCTTTAGAAGCTGCTGACGATATTTTTGTGCTTCTCTGTTTGCCTCATCCAGCTGTTTCTGAAGAGTTTCTCTTTCCTATTAGAAACAGAACCAGCAATATTTTGTCACATATGTATCAAATACACATTAAAGTGGCAAATTCTTTGCCTTTACATGCAGCTCAAGTGTTAAGGATATAATGCAGAAACTGTTCAGCTCTTACTCGGGCAAACCAAGCACTGCTGTGTAAATTAGACAGGAACTATCACACCAGACACCTCCCCACAATAAGGCTTGAAGTGGAACCATAGTAAACCCAAGTTTATTTAGCTGCAAAGATACCAAGCAAGTCTTCATGGGAAAAGAATGAAATAAAAAGAGGAAGCACAGTGATCAAATATAACATGATATATTAGCATTTTTCCAGTTATTCAATTCCCTTTGTTACTCTTGTAAATTGGAATCCAATAAAACAGGATTGTCCCATTCTGTTGTACTTTCAGTCAAACAGTAGAATGAAAAACTGTTACCTAACAGCAGCTTCCACTGGGAAGCGACAGCTGCCCACTAACCAAAATACACACATAACTGGTTTCCTAAATGAAGTGATTAATACTATGCAATCCTGATGTATAATTATATCCCCAATGATACCACATCTTTATGAATTAACAGACACTTAGCTAGATGAGCTTTTTCAGTTCAAAAGGAGTAACTTAAGGCTCCATCCTGCATGTAAGTTTGTGGGGATGGCTACAAAATGGTTTCCAAGCAAAATAATATGGGAAATGCCATTTCCTATGAAGCTGCCTTAGAAACTAAGGAGAATGGATTTCTATCTCCACTGACGTAGGTTCTGTCATTTTGTTTGATGCTGCACTGAGCCCAATTGAAAAAGCAATTTGCTTGGAAAACAGTTTTGTTTTGATCTTCAACCAAATACCATTTCATTAAAGTGCATCATACTTTTATGAGTAAGGTAGAATTTGATTTCAGATCATTCTTTCCACTGTAGTTGATAAGTACGCACAGGAGGGAACTTGTCAGAGAAACAAGCTATTTCCCAGAAAAACAAAACTCTCATCAAAATCCGAAGCCCAGGGAAAGTAAGGTGCCTTTTCACCTTATTCCCAGCAGTTCGGTATCACATTCCCATGCGATAGAATTTTCTCCCCCCACTCCCCCATAACAGCATCCCTATTCTTCACCTCTTTGATGCACTCACATATTTTCATGGTCAGAGCCCGAAAATACAAAATACTCTGCCTCCCTTCTACTTGCTACTGTTCTCAGTACTTTTAACAATCACATTTAGCAGTCACATGCTGTGCTGAATGTGCTGGAATATAATGACATGGGTGATAGATCATTGCTAACAGCAGCATCTGTATAGCAAAAACAACAGGTGAAGGACAGATGTTATTAACAGGTTATAAAGACTAGCTATAACATAGAACACCTTAAGTGCAACTTGATTTTACACAGGGCTTTAAGAACTAGAGGAAGCTAGGAAGGGTTTGCTTCATCCAGAGCATATGCTAACAAAATGAGAGCTCCTCTGATCTTATTTATTTGAAAAGGAAGTTCAGCTTCCACCTCTGAAAATTTGGAGTGTGTGCAGACCGCAAACAATTGGGAGTGAAGGTATTTCCCACAGAAGAGAAAAATAGGGGGGGACACACACTAAACCCAAAAACCAAGTCTCAGTGGCAGAAACAAGAAGATAAACCCAGTATCCACCAAACAGACCAGCAATTATCCAGCGGCATTAACATTAATCCAGCAACTAATAGGAGTAGTTTTTAGAGTCATTGCCCTAACATCAACAGAACAAGTTAGGGAACCGAGGCCAAGCATACTGTCTAACCAGGCGGTAGAAAGAAACCAATACTTCTGGAGAAGCAATGCAGATCTACAGCAGACCGAACATGGAAAATTGGTTCCTCTGACATCTAGAATACGGAGGACTCTATCTGGCCTGTTAATATCATCAAGTCCAGAAAATGTTCCAATTATCTGAAGTTCTTTTGTACCAGTATAAAAACCTACCTGGGTAAAAAACAAATTAGAGGACCCTGAGTGCTCTTAAGAAACCTTCCATTTTACCAGGGATTTTTCTTCCTTACATGTAACTTTTCTTAACAGTCTGTATATTAACAGGGACACCCATAACTAACATAACCAAACCAAGCATTCTTTTTAACAACAGAAAAAACAGGGATATGAATTTGCTAATATAAATAGCCTACAATTATGATTCTTTTTTGTTTAATCTAATGAAACAATTGGTTCTAATATGTGAGACCTTTCACACATGCAACACAGAAAAAAGTCAAATGCAAGAATGAAAATAAAAATCACTGCATGTTAATGAATTATGCATGAAAATGAAAAACAGTATCTGTGCCACAGGGGTTTTTTTTGCTGCCACCCTATATTTAAAATATCAAACTGTTCAGGAAAACTGCTACCACCCTTCAAAATGAGCTGAAATGTTTGAACTTAACAGACACAGAAGAGAAAAATAAAAGATCACGAGGACAGATTTAGTCATTCACAATACTTCCACAGGGAAGTTTGTCACCTGACATGGATGGGAGGATGTTCAACTTAACTACAGTTAACTGTTCACACACTATGAATTTAAAATAGCTGAAGAAAATACTCTTAGCCTTGAATCAACTCTTTATAATGAAATAAAGGAATAAATCACTGGAAACCAAACAGCAAAGGTTGTCTGCGTTAAAAAAATATTTTAATGAGCAGAGGGGTCCTACTTCCACCAAAATCAACTATCTATTACCTTCCATGATGATGAAGTTTGAAGTGAACTGACTTTATGTGCACTTCTTTAATGCTCCTGTTACCAAAGTGAGGGAGCATCATACCCCTGTGAATCGCAACTGGCCTCCACACAGAGGCAGAGGTCTGCATCTGCTTTTCCAGTTGTATAGAATCATAGAATGGTTTGGGTTGGAAAGGACCTTAAGATCACCTCGTTCCAACCCCCCTGCCATGGGCAGGGACACCTCACACTAAGCCATGTCACCCAAGGCTCTGTCCAACCTGACCTTGAACACTGCCAGGAATGGAGTATAGGCAGGGACAAAGTCAGTCATCAAAATTTGCACTTAAAAGTATCAGATAAAGTAACTAATTTAAACCAACTTCTTTTAATATTTGAGAAACATGTTTAAAACATACAACTGAAACTGGTAATCCCCTGAAAAGAATTATTTGTACTGTTACACCAACTATCTGCAATTAGGAACAGGTCAATTTATTCCTTAACCAATCTAGATTTTTTTTCTTTCACCTAACAGAATTATTAAAATACTTAAGGAAATGCAATTTCCTTTATGAATAATTCAGGCAAATGTTTAAAAGTGTGAACAAAAGAAATGCTTTTATTGTAACAGTCATACATTTTAAAAAATGCAGCAGGAAAATTTCAACTGTCATGATAATCTGTAATGACTACAAAGCTGCAAAGGCCGAAAGTATTTGATGTGACAACTTAAGGACAGGGAAAGCAAGTGATGAAAGGTGGTAATTACTGTTATTAGACACGGATAACATATAGCACACACTGTACAATAAAAAAAAGTATTCAATTAGGCACAATTTAATAATATGAACAGAAGTTGGAGAATACAATCTTTGATAAATGAAGTTATCATGGAGTTGACAAAATGAGAACTTACAGCCTAGACAAGGCAAACAGCAATTTTCATAAACTTTTGACCAAAACTGGTCACCACAGTAAGTAACAGAAGGAATGAGATGGTTGACCTATTGTGGCTAATATAAAAAAGCTACAATTTAAAATCAAACAGCTGTATCTATTTCTCATATATAAAAGAGCTCTCTCAATGGTGTTAGGTGTCCCACGCTATAATTAAAAACAAACAAACAAACAAAAACACAACAGGATGGGGCAAAGATGTGTAAACAGCTCCAGGATTAAAAAGAAAAAAAAAAGTGGGGGGGAGCAGATAACAACTGACAAACACAGAATCTTCCCCTTTCACATTTCCATTAACAGTTATTTAGGTATCACGAATGGAAAGGAAACCTGGTGAAAAATAAGATCTCACAATCAGGACAAGCATGTGGTCGTTACAGAAGGATGTGGGTACAGTACTCTCATTCGCTAGCAGAAAGAGTCAAGTTACTCAATAATATATTGGTACCTTGTTTTAAAAAGTAGCTGGTGATCTTAAAGGAAAAACAAAAAATTAAGTTGTCATATATTTAAAGAAGTGTCACTTTTATGTGCACAACCAGAGGATGAAGCAAACAGCCCTCCTAGATTCTTTTAACAACTTTGTAAAAGATGAATTCCAGTAACAGGGAAGACAGAACAAGTTATTGTTTCACACACGCTTCAGTCTCTGGTAACACAAAAATAAACTCTAGAACAACACAAAACCCCACAACCAGATACTCAGTGCTGAACACCCTGGTTAACACATATCACGTAATATACTCCTTACTTCTATTTCTGTAGACTCCACACGATTTTCAACAATCTCAATGCACTGTCTCTTCACTGGCGGTTCTTCGCTTATCACAGTTTCTTCAGCAATGTCTGTTGCTGGAACTGTTAATACTGAAAACATTTGTACGAATAAATACATTTGCTTCAAACAGTATTTGCACTATATAAAATTTTATTAACAGCAATAAAATGCAGAGACTTTTCCCTATGAAAACACAACTATATAATAAAGTGCATTATGAAGTTGCTTGTATGCTACTAAAGAACTTTAAAATTCTTTGTTACTGAGGTCTACAATAGTTAGTTCTCAGTCTGGAGTATTATTGCTATTTTTCACAGAGTAACCAGACAAGGAAGTGAACTGCAGCAGTTACCAGCCTGTCAATTCTCTAATGTATAAAACAGACAATCTTCATAATGTTACTTAAGCAAATACTAAATACAAAACTGGCTTTTGATGTCAATTGATTAGAACACCTTAGGTAATCTGAAAATCCAGTAGTTATTAAAGGAAAAGAGATCTAAAGAAATTCATACTCTTAATATAGACATGCAACCATCTGGCAAATAGATGTCCTAACTGTCACTTCAGTTACTACCTACACACATTCATGCTTTCTGGTAACTAGCTGTACTTGTTCAGACAGACTGCGAACCAAATAATCTGTCTCCTGGGTACAGCTCTTCAAGCTCCACACTGGGAGTCCTCGTGAAGAAACTGGAGAAGGAATAACTTTTGTCTAAATAGTAGCGGCAGAAAATCTTTAAAAGAAACCACCCTAAACATGCGCATGTCACAAAATGGCACTTACGACACTAGCAGCTTCCACAAACAAAATACATATGGCCCAACAGGACCATTTGTGTCACTCTGGTTTCACTGGTTCTGTCACTGCTCCTCTAAAACCTCAAGCATGTCAGACTTGGCTTTTTTTCTGTTAAGAACACACTCCACAGGACTTGCACAGCTTGCCTAAAGCACCAGATTTCTACATCCAAGCCTCACCTCCCCGTCTTTCTGGCAAGGCAACTGCGTGAGTATTGCAAGACAACTTTCGTTTTACTCCATCTTCTAGTCTTCCTAACAAGTTTGCAAGAATCAAGCTTATCGAAGGCAAAGCAAGTAGTTCTCACTTTTCCCTTCAATGTACCATTTCCCTTCCAAGTTTAGTAATTCTTCCATTCTTTCTCCTAATGCACTCAGCTGACGTGTAACTCACTGAACTGCAGTAGCTCATACGTCTGAGCCTTTTGCAGTATAAGAATTCAATGATGTTTCTAAATCTATACTTATACAAAATTGTCCAAGCTATTTGCACCTAAAAATTCATTATTATTCCTAAAGCAAACAGTTCCTCAAGCTGAAATTGTACAAGTTTCCACCCACCTTGCTGTCCATCTGGCATGGTCACAATGATTGGTTGCCCTATTCCACTGGTTGGAATTGAATGCAGGTTACCAAGCTGAATGCCATCTGTCACTATAGTAATAACTTGTTGACCTCCAGAACTGACAACTTGCTGAATAGCACCATCCACAGATTCTGCAGTCACAACTTCTTCTGTGGCCACAACTATCAACAGATTAGTAAAGGAATTAAGTCAATTTATTAAACTGTATGATTTCAAATACATTTTAGTACAGCAGAGAAAAAAATGTCTTTGAAAACTTTATGCCGCTCAATGCATTATTACACATTATACTGTTCATAATAAAAATCTTTCACCAGGCAACATAAGGCACTAACATTTTGAAATACACATGCAGCTCTTTCTCGGTTTACCTTGCTCAATATAATAGTTTTTTTATTTAGTATGTTTCCTGACAGATACATCCCACTCAAAACTGATGCTTTGAGTTCAATGTTAACACTGCAGCAAGAACAAGAGTTGCTTTTAAGAACACAAGTAACTTTTGCATTGTACACAAGCTGGACTAATTTACACTAACAGCAGAATAAAACAAACAAACTTTAAATTGAAACTACTCCTCAACTAGTGACTTGCCAGGTGTCAAACACAAACACAACTTTATGATACAAAACATGAAACAGGACTAAAGGAAAAGTTCTGCAGAGTTGACATTTTTATGCCTTTGAAGGAGAAAAATAGAGCTGAAGGAGAAAACCAAAAATTGTATATATAGAATTTTATATGTAAAAGTTAAAGTAAAAAATCGCAGCTCAACTAAGTATTTCAAATTCATGATTTGATAATGAGTGTTGAAAGAGCAGTGAACTCTGAGAGTTTTACATTACATCTATAAAGCAAGGTAAGGTAATACTGCATTCAAAACTACAACACACACCACACTTACACTATACACTAATTGAGGTCTCACACTACCACCCTTATTGTTTCTAAGCAATGACGTACTCAGACAAAAGAGCAAGATCACCAACAGCACAATCAAAGAATCTCAAGCACACTAACTCTGTATTTTATTTTCAATCTGTCAGGGGACAAGAAAAGCCTTTGATTTAAATGACAGACATTAGAGTGCTTTCTATCTACAGAGATGAAATTAAAATCCTATAAACTGTGTTGTGATGCTCAAGATGAGAGAAGGTAGATAAAACCTTGAAGCTTTCATCTTTTAAGTTAATTACAATACAACAGATACACACAAAAATCACTCTGTAGTTCAAATAATGACTGCGGCCATTGTCTTCTGAAGATCTTTATGTTCAGAGATTACTGTCCTATAGCACTGCCTAAATATTCACAGACTGTTTACTCAGTAAACCAAAACAGTAAGTCCTACATAAATAAATGGTGGTGTATTGAACTTGATCTGACTTCCAAGTACAGGCTCAGCAGTAAGAAAAACCACTGTTACAAAGTGGATTCCAAGCTGCAAGCGCTAACAGTAGCTGCTGTGGCTAACAGCCCTGATATTCCAGTTTCAAACTCAACGTTGGGCTTTTAGTTGTGAAAGGAAACATTATCAGGACTTCTTCAGACCTTAACAGAAAAATGGAGATTGTCTAAAAAGAAGCTATTCTATATAAAGAAAATCATGCCCTTAAATACAGTCTTTGTTCCTTCCTTGTTCTCCTTCATATCTATATCCATATAATCATTAGTTACCACACCGCTTCACATGCCAAAGGAAAGCTGAAGTCATTTAGGAATGCAGCACAATTATTTTCAAGAATCTCTGAATTAATATGCATTGTTTTCTGCTGCAGCCTGTGCATGGTGAGAACACCTGCATGAGCAGTAAGACATATACCTAATTCCACACATAAGCACATCAACTACTGCATTCCAAATACACATCTTAAATCAGATTCTTCTCCAATCCAACTCTGAGTTCCATACATACGTTACGCAACGTATTTGTGCACAACATCCATGCCCTCATATACACATAATTTGAGTAACAATGAAAAAAAAAAAAAAAAAAAAGCAGCATCATTCAATTCAGCTGCAGTGAGAAGCACCTTCCTCTCTCTGGTTTTAGAAAATTGATGTGTTTTTAACTTTAAGACATGAGGAACTAGGGGAAGAGATCAGGGTAGTTAACTTTGAAAGAGGAGGAAAACCTAGACAAAAACAACATAAAAGGCAGAACCTAAATGCTTTGTCCAAGTTTATACAGTCTTAAATAAACAAGGCTAAATACAAGGTAAGAGCCAAAACCAGAATTCCCAGTGCTACAATTTTTGAGAGTATTTACAAATGAATCTCCTACAAGATGAGCACAAAGAGAAAGGAGGTGTGTGATTTGGTTTTTCTTTTATTTTTACCTTGAGCACATCTACTACTGATGTCACTACAATCTGCTTTTATATTCTTGACACTTTATGAACTATTAAAGAAGTAAGAACCCAGGAAATAACTTGCACAGTAAGATACTGCAAGATTACCCACACATCTGCATAAAATCAAAGCAGAAGAACCAAAATAAACAGGAGGGTTAGGTATGATGGACACTGTGTTATTGAAGGTGTGAAGTTACTGCATTAAGACTTCAAGCTTATTCCTTCTGCCTGTTGTCTCCTGCCTCCTCTCTAATAATTTTTATTTTCAGTGGTTTACTCTAACATTACACTCAGTTCATCACCAAAGTCTACTACTGAGTCCTGGACACACATTAAACGCTCTGTAATCCCATGCACTCCTTTCTCGAGTTTCTCTCCTACAGTTAGATCCAAGTTCCTCTGAAATACATCAATTGAAAACATCAACAGCTTCTTCTATAACGAAAGACACTGCATTCTGGTTTTGGATCCATCCACTTCACTTGCAATATTTAAATGTCATAAAACAGTACAGCTGTACTCCCTTGCTTTGAGAAGCAGTAGAAGAAAAAAAGAGTTGTATTTAGAAGAAATTTTGCAGGACTTCAAAATACTTTGAGATGAAAACTCAGGTTTATGTTGGGATGTAGCTGTCAGGCCAGAAATCTGTCAGTACAGACATGTATTTTTTCCAGACAAAGCAGTAATCAGCAAAGACCCATGGGACAGAGATGAAGTGAGAAACTCTTCAGAATGAAAAATGCAAAACTTGGCAACTAGGGACAGTGGAATTCCTTCTACCTTTCTGGCTTCCTGTCACGGCCTTATGGAATAAGGGAGTGTGTATACATCTGCAATGAGGAATGCAGGCTGCTTCTTCCTAGAACAATAATGCTAGGCTTATTTTAAACTACAATGTACCAGCCTGAAGTGGGCCATACTAATCACTGCATATCATTATAAATGCAAGTAGAATGCCTTAATATTGTAAAGATGACCCACAGACACTCTAATGGGCCAACTGCACATTAAGATCAACAAATATTCTTATGCCTTTTGGGTGAAAGATTAAGAAAACCGATGACAAAGTATATGCAAACAACATTAGGGGCCATTTCCCAAAAGCATCCAAAGAACCCATTCTCCCACCAAATGCAACTGAACTGTATGCAGACAAAGACTTAAATTCAATCTCCTGAATTACTTGCTTTCAGCAAGATGAATGCTACTCACATTAGGCCTAGAAATATTAGCTGCGGTCAGAAATCTTATTGAGAAGTAATTGTACATATGAAACTGGCCACCTTCCAGGTGAAAGTAAAGGAAAAATTTGTTCATGCTGAAAAAAGCAAGGCTGTAATCTCATTTCTGTATGACTTCTATTGCCAAAAGTGCCAGTTCTGTACTTTTAGTTTATTAAATGATATTAAATGACTTAAGCTTTCTAACCTGGTGTTTCTGAAGAATTAGACAGTGGAGCCGATGCTTCTGCTAAAGCTGCCAACGTAGCTAATACTGATGTTGATGAATTTCCAAACTGTACGGCAGACACTCCTGTTTCATCTAGTAGGATGAGAAAAAAAAGTTAGCTGACAAATTTAAAACCAGTGCTAACACACTGTTCTCAGCAACATTCTGCTGAATCAAAGTGCTATTCTGCAGCAAGTTTCTTAAGCAAATACAACTTCTGATAATTCATCTCTGTTTTCAGCAGCTATTTACAGCGCATACACACCAAGGAGGAACATGGTAATTATTCTTACCACTGCTTTTCCTCAAGCCTTTTCACTAAATGGTGAAAAACAATTAATCCCAGTAGCTATCCTATAGACATCTAAATACCTGTTTTATTTGATGTATTTGTAGAAGATACCAGACCTGTTAGGTTCACCACCCCTCCAGGTCCAATGATGAACTGCGGTGTTGCTGCATGTATCGTCACAGTGTCCGGACTCTCTGGATTTGTATTGATTTGGTTCTGCATTGCAATCTAGGAAACAAACATAAAAATACCATTCCAACTGTAGGTACAAAGAAGTTAGTTATCTTGTAAGAACTAGAATTATTGCACATTCCACTCAAACAGGGATCATCTCCCTCGTTAAACTCATGCAACACACGCACATCATGTCACGCCTTGTGCTTGCGTAAGTACATGAGAAACTTTTTTTTCTGCCTGAAATTTAAATACAAAAAGTCTGATGAAGTGGAAAAGAATAATGACACATTGCCTCTTCTCCTTACCATTTATTTATTTATTGTAAACAAAGAGGACCAGATGAAGTCAAGGCCCTTTTGTAGATACGCAAAAGCTCACATGGATATAATAGAGGCCTGAAGAACTGAGGCCGCTGTGGCAGCTACATGCCATGAAAATCAGCTCCGAAAGCTTAGTAATTCTATGGATTGTAGACTGCAGCCATCTTTTGGTCTTTTTTGACTTATTATTGACTTTTATTTACTATAGCCTTTCTGCCATAAAAAGGAAGCTAAAGGAACAGACTAGAAGCTCATACAATTTAAGATGTAGGGCAACAAGAATTTATACAGTGGTATAATAGTATTTTTCATTTGCTTTCTCTTCTCTCAATACTATCTGGCTCTTCATTTGCCTTTAAGAACACTACTGAACAATGAGCACACATCCCCATGGAAGTATCTGTTATAATACCAATCCAAATTACTTCAACAATTCACTGCTAGTTTTTCTAACTCAGGAAAAACAGCCATCTATTCTCTCCTCTCCTGATCTCCAGTTGCTAGGAAATCAATATCCATATACGAAGCTAACTGAACACAAGAGTATAGTCAAAACTTATTGGCAGAATGGGAAGTTAAGTTGTACACCTTGCTTGTGAAGATACCACCTAGTTCTGTGTACTACAACACTAAAATTTAAGAAAACAAAGGACACTTATCGTTGACTTCTAGGTGGTGAAAATGTTCTTTCGCCACTAATATTTGCTAACATTAATCTCATTTCCATGTCACGAACTAGAGTGAGTTTAGCACTGCCAATCAATATATGGTCTCACAGCTGCTGTATTAAAAATTTAGTTTATCACATCTGTAAACAAGTATTTTGCTCTAAGTTCCCGTATCATCATGAATCAAAAGTTACCTGTAATATTTCTGCAAGGTCTTCATTTCCATTGTCTACCGCAATATCTAACGCCGTTTTGCAAAATTTACTCTGAGCATGAACATCTGCTCCATACTTTATTAAGAGTTCTACAACTTCTTGGTGGTTATGTTCAGTAGCCCAGTGAAGTGCAGTCATTTTGAGCATGTCCTTCGCATTGACATCAGCACCGTGCTACAAACAAGATCATTGCATAAACTATGTCATTAGAAGTATATGAATTAAATAATGCTGGTCACAGGATGAAGCCCAAAACTGCCTTTCTCCATCAGTAATGTTCTGTTACTTATACTTACAGATTTATTAAAAGTACTTCACTCTAACCACCAAATAAATTATTTACCTGAAAGGATTAAAGACTCCCTGAAACATAACATGTCTTGGTTCTAAAAGCTGTTACTCACACACTGTCAAATTAGGAGTTAATCTTATTTTGAAAGAGCAATAAATAATCCACCTGAAATCATTATTTTAATGCTAAAATAAATTGCAGTTTAACAGGAAAACAAAGCACCTAATGCACACAGTATAAATATTCGTATTATTTCAATGTTGTTTTCATGACTAAAGGGAAACTGCAAATATTTGATCATAAACAGTTGTAATATCTGTGCCTCAGACCTTGTTTCAGCATTTTTTACCTTAAGTAAGACTTCTACTATGCTGGCATGGCCTTCTGATGCTGCCATATGTAATGGAGTTCTGTCCACCTTGGTTCTGGCATCCCGACTTACACCTGCTCGCAGCAACACTTCTGTTGTTGAGTAGTGTCCATACTGTGCTGCTAGATGAAGTGGAGATGTTCCCAACTGTAACATAAAAAGAAAAGTGGAGTTTTAACAGATGTCAGCATGAAATATTTCTTCCTGTTCTGGAGCTATCAAACTTGGGTGTTAGGGCATCACTTCAAAACCATTCTCCCTTGCAGTCTCAAGGAAAAAAGCTGTCAGGGCTTTTAGAGAGTACGAAAAAAGTTTAGATTTCTGGCTGGGTTTGGCTTTTTCCCCCCAATAATCACAACACACAAAACTCGCTAATTGGAAGAAACTTTTCAAGGCCTGTGCTATGTTTTTCTGTCTTTTTGAGGTTTAATATTTCAAGGGGCCTAACCTCATTTTCAATGTTGGTCAACAGGCCATAGCAACATTGGAAGGGACCTCTGGAAGGCACTTAAATCCAGTCTCCAGATCAAAACAGAGTCACTTTGAAAGTTGGGTTGCTTAAGGCTCTTAAGGGCTTGCAAACACCCTAGAATTGTAGGTACCTCACCTCCCTATACATCCTATTCAAAAAAAGGCACCTCTGAAAGACAACTCAGAGCCCCTATATCAGGGAACTCTTAGTCACACATATTTAGGCAGTTGGGACCGCTTTCTTAATTCAGACATCTCACTATACTAAATGCATAAACACAGTAACTAGGAGGATGATTGCTGCTTTCTCTCATTAACCATTCCAAAGTTCATCTTAAAAGTCACCAGAATGAGCTCATTCACAGTCTGTTACTAAGATCAGTAGGAGGTCACATGAAGAAACAGACAACTTCAATTTTGGATTAGACATTACATGAGGTGACTGCATAATTCCAAGAAGAAAGCCCCAAGGCTTGCAATATAAATGCTTAAGTATAATAATCCTATTTTCTTCTGCACATGAGAAAAGTAAGAAGATTCACCAAACACTGCGAAAGTTTTTGTTACCCAATCTGTGGTAAAAGGTGCTCCATTTGCCATCAAAATGCGAACTTCATCATCTTGACCTGCTCGTGCAGCTTCTAAAAGTTTCTTTCCCAAATCTACTAGTGACATCTAGTGAAGGACATAAAGGAATATAAAGAAAAAAATAACAAGATTAATACCATATTATGTACACAAATGTCACTGTCATTGTTTAAATTATTTCTGAACTATTCCGAAAAGTTCAAAACCTGGAGTTGGTATTACAGCCATGAGGACAAGCTTTACTGACTGCAATGAGCAGCTTGATTTTAGAATTACTTTTGTCAGACAAACAGAACTGACACTGGGCTGAAGATGTCAGTATTACAATGACAGAATCACAGCAGCTGCAATGCTGTATAAAACTAAATTATCTGAACCAGACACACTGTTTATAGCAGAAAGTGGTTTAGAGGCTCTCACCTGATACTGCAACCTCCTGCAGCTCTGCCCAGCTTTCAAATGGTACTACAGCATGGCTGCTATGCCACATGCCCAAAGGCACTGCAGTCACATATCCAAAATGCCTACACGTGTTTAAGAGGTACCTCTATGCAAATGCATTTAGACAGTTATAAAACACAACACCTTTCTGACATCTTGCCCATCGCTATCACTTTGTTTTGTCCACACTAAAACACAAAATCTGTATCCTTACCTACAAAAATGATGCAATAAGCCTGTACTATTGTACCACATGGATCAGACACATGAACTGTCTGCCTGAAAACAAACATTACTACCTGTTTCAACTGTCTACAGTTACAAAAAACTGTAAGTGCAAAATTTTGATTGACACATGACTGAGACATGAGCTGAAAAATTCTCACATATTGTTTAGATCATCTTCTCATGCTACTAACCAAAATACAGCATTAACATTTTAGTCCTATAGCTATGTTTCCCACTACCAAGATGCTAAGAACAGAATTACTTTCATCAGTTTAGTTTCCAGTCACAAGTGAAGTTAAGCCTGTATTACTAATAATAGCAGTCGCAAGGCCTATGGCTACATGCAACTACAATTTCCTACACAAAGTTGCAGTACTTCAGTTCACAAAACCAAGTTCTCTGCACCTGGCTCAACTGGCAAAATCTGTGTGGTATATTGCTCAATAAACTGAAAGCTACTGACTTTAGAAGAAATTAGAAAGGAAGATGGAAATACTGCAAATGCAGAACTGCAACACACATCAGTAAAGCCAGGAACAGAAGCAGATCACCTCTTTGTCTACAGAACTGACTGCAGGCAGCAATATACCCTTCACCAAAGTAACACTCCATTTATGTCCATTCTTTTAGTACACACAGACATGTTGATTTGTCTTCAGCAAGAAAAGGGAAGAGAAGCAGGAAGGTGGCAGGCCAGGACAAATACTGACAATTGTTAAAGGAAGGAAAAAGGGAGAACAGAGTCAGATGCAGAGGAAGGAACAGCTGACTCTTCCATAACAAGAAAGAGCAAAAAAGAAACAGGAAAACAAGAAAATCTACTATCCCTGTTAAAAGGAGACACTAGGAGTAATGATATAAAACAACAGGACAGAGAGGGCATTTGGCAAGTGCAGCAATGAAAGAAGGAATATAGCACCCCCTTTACATAGCTGGCTTTTTTTTCTTGGTGGGAAGGCAGTGGGTGCAATTTAAGAAGTGAAAGAGCACACAACACACACACTTCTGGTGGCCTAATACCACCACATCAAGGTCTTCAGAAGCAAAAGAAAAGCTGGAAATGAATGCAAAATACTTAAGTCAGGAATGAATTCAGAAAGACAATTTATTTCCCTTGTGTTTCTTTTTGTTTTAAACACTAATAGAGAAAAGGAACTAATAAAGCCCCTTTTTGGAATTACAGAAGTCCTGAGGCTGGAGGGGACCTCTTAAGGTCACTTAATTCAATCTTCCAGCCAGAGCCGGCTCGAAAGTTCAGCACGTGTTGGGCTCAGTCCTACTGAGTTTTAGATGACCCTGTGGATGCACATCCCACTGCTTCTTCAGCCTCATCCCAGTGTCCAACCACACTCATAGTAAGAGTTGCCTTCTGTGTGTACCTATATTTCTCCACTAACCAACAAAACAGCCTTGACCACAAGCTTATACTTGATGTCTGACAGACAACAAAGAGCTGAATTAAATTACAGTCCATATATTTAACAACTCACCCATTCAGAACCCACCGACCACATCTCAACTGGAGAAATAAACTGCAAAATTGTTACCAAACCCCTATGCAGCACAATTAAGCAGCAAAAAGTAAGTCTCATCCCTAGGAGACGTTAGGGACAAACTTCAGCCTAAAATCACCTTTTCAGAGTCTCTCTGAACCACTACTGTTCAACACACTGTCAGACTAACAGCACATCCGTTCCCATCTCAATGCAAAACTCAACTGCCCTCTACTACATGCAATAACTGAAGTTCTAATCAAGGAAAAAGAGGGACATAGGAGATCATACGTGACATAACCTTCATTACCATGTATTATTTACATTAACCAACACTCTCTTGGTGGATATAAAGTGTTTGTATTTTAAACAAGCACAAAGCATCACAGAAGTTTATATGCATTTGGTGATGAATTTTAACTTTGGTTTAGAAATCAAGTTCTCATTGGGTACTTGAAAGCATGCCTGGGCCATCTAGTGGAAGAAAGTTAAAAACTAGCAGAATTACACTGCTGAACTCAAAAATTAGGTGTCACTAATGCACTAACAGCAGCAACTCAAGAGGCCTTTCCAACAGAATACATGCACATTTAGTCACTTTTAACCAATGAGTACTAGCATTCACAAAATCTCTCAAGAGGACTCAACCCTCAAGCTGATTTCTACCTGGCTGACCGTTCCAAGGACCAGTATTGTAAGGTCAGGAAAGCCTTGAGTAACAACATGTCGTTGTGTTGTGTCCGTCCCGTCCTCCCCCCCCCCCCCCCTTCTGGGGCATACCATGAAGGGTCTCCAGTGTCAGAATGTCCCTTTCTTCCCTTCCCAGAGAAGTTCTTCCGCTGTTCTCGAGATCACTCAGTAACACTACAATAGCACAGTGATACTATCAAAAGCAAAGTACTATATATAGTACAATAACATACATTTAAAATTAAAATTAGATTTCCATTTCAAAGCAGCACCCTTAGTTAAGTACTGCTGCTACTCTACGTAGTGTTACAAATCAACTCCATGGAACTGTGTTAGAGGGTACTCTTCAGTAACTGACATTTCCATCAAGCTTGGCTAGCACAACAGCTGGGTAATGTTTCAAGAGGCTCTTTTCAGACAATAAAAACATCCCTGGCTCTGAAATAAAGTCTTGAGACTGTTATAGTTATTCGTATGGCAACTGGAATATGTTTTCAGACTTTTAACAGTTCCCACACAACGGTATGAGCAATGGGGTTTGTCCACAACTGAGTAAAATAGGGAACAGCTTCTGCTGGGTTTGGACTTCTTTGCATTAATCACCTCCTGAACTTCCACATTTTGTTACTGCAATGCATTCTGTACAGTATCACTAGCTAGGTGTCACAATTAACTGGTGATTAAAACTTACATCAAATTATTATTGTTATTTTACTCCTGTTCAATAGGAAATCATTCTGCTTTTAGATTTAAGGTTTTATACATTCTCTAAAACTCTGAACAACATGCTGCTACCAGAGGGGTACAGAACAGCACTTGAATGGAGTTTAGGTGGAACTGTGTGCAAAATGGGCTCTGTAGGGAGGGAGAGGAGCTGGAAAGCATGCAGCTTGGGAAGCCTGGGCTACACCACACCCTGCACACAACAGAGCAGCAGAGTCTGCAGTGCAAAGGAAGAAGATTAAGTTTGGCTTAAAATACTGCAGCACCTTTCAGTCTGGTGTCCTGCCTCAAGGATCCTGGACCCAGCCCTATTCCCCTTCTACCACTGCAGTGGTCAACAGCTGCTCAAAATCAACAGGCACAAACCAGTTGTTGCAGAACATCTGCTAACACAGAAATCTCACAGCCACCAGTGTACCTCTACCAAGGCATGCTCCTAAGAGATACACTTATGCTAGAAAAGCATGGACTGCACCACTGTAATTATCAGAAGATAAACTCAATAATATACCCTGTATCTGTGATAACATTTGCAATCATTCCTAAAAACCCCACAACAAACTTACACAAAATGCTAATTAAACAGGTTTCCCTACTGAAGTGGCATGTGGCAGAAGTGTGCTTCGGAAGACTCTCATTACATCTGGAAAAAGAGTGTCCTTTTCCCAATGCCTAATTTCCCCTGTTCCAAAAAGATTAACCTGCTTCTCCAGGCCCGACCTTCAGACATGCTGCCATCTGATCCCAGCATTACACAGTACCACCAGAAATTCAGAATAGCCATTTCTAACTAATTCTATATGCCTATCCACACCAAGGTCAAAAACATTTTGGAAGTACAGTGTCTAAAATAGTCAGCAATAACTATTTAAATCCTTTATCAAGCACTCAGTTTTGATCGTTATCAGAATTTAAGTAATAGGATCAACTTGCGATTTTGTTTTTACATGCCAATACAACAGCAGAACACCTTAACTCAGAACAACTCTTCAAAAGTTTTTTTATTTCAACTGAAAACTTTTAATTGAAATGAAAATTTTTATTTAAAAGTTTTGTAACTTTTAAAAGAGCCAGAAGGTCTGCATTAAACCTAGGTGTACTTCCACTTGCTAGCGTCTCTTAAAAACTTTGGTATGATTTCACTATATGTATCATTTAATAGTGATTATAGTGACTTACACATGAAAAACTCAGAAAGTTCCTGTATTGTTTCCTAAGGAAATCACAGCCTTCCAAATGTATTTTGACAATGATTTCACATGTCACACTTAAAATCTTAATATCATAGGCTTAGAGTATCCACACTTCTATTATGATAATGGAAAATACACTAATATATTAATAGTTTTCAGCTTTCCTCTATGGCTGTGTTGTGCTTGTAACTAAATTCTCTCAAGTGTGTTTAAACAGCAACATGACCTTCATGTTGGACTACATATGCATCGGATGAAGACCTGATCTGAGAAAAGAGATCAGGAAAGCAAACATAGTGTTGAATAGCTTAGTGGTTAA